TGCCCACGGATACCCCAATTGTCTGTGCTCAGCCCATCACCCTCTTGCCCTCACTCTTTGGTGTGTCCAGGTCCTGGATTCTGATCACACCCGAGCCTCCTCTTTTGCCTTTATTTCTACCTCCGCCTACTGGGGTCTGTCCCATGGGCCTTCTGTGGATGGTCAACTTGGATTTACTATGCCCCTGATTCAGACTGTGATTATTTGCAAGTCTACTCAACCTCCTCACCCCTGGCTCTGCTCTTTCCCTCGAATGACGACCTTTTCTTTCCTCTTTGGCGTCAGGGGTGACGCAGCTCCCTTTGCTGTCTCTTACTCCCTCTTTCTCCTAGAGTCTTGAGATTCCTCTTGTATCCATTTTAGGGCTAGTGTGTGTGTGTGTGTGTGTGTGTGTGTGTGTGTGTGTGTGTGTCTAAAAGAAATAAACACGAATGGAGAATCAATCAACTGGACTTGAATGACACAGAGAACCATGTTAAATTTTGAAGAGTGAGAGAGAGAGAGTGCGAGAGTGAGTGAGAGAGAGTGAGAGAGCGAGGGAGTGAGAGCGAGAGAGAGAGAGAGAGAGAGAGAGAGAGAGAGAGAGAGAGAGAGAGAGAGAGAGAGAAACTGACTTCCCGACTTCCGGCCTATCACCTCTGCTCACCCCTTGCCTGGATTACGGTGACTGTGACCCCTTGGTGTCTCCCTGCTCTAATCCAGGACTATTTCTCAAGCCTGATTCTGATCATGGCATTCTTCTGTTTCGCTCGTAAATCTCCAAAGGCACCCAGTTGTCCACCGAATTAAATTTGTCCCCACTGACAGGGAGTCATGCCAAGCGGGCCTCTGTGACATCCCCTACAGAGACAACCAGAGACACCCACACAGAAAGGAAGTCATAGCCCCGGTTGGGCTGGAGGGTCTTCAGCATTATTGCTTGCATTCTTTTCTTTTCCTCTTGAAAACAAAAGTGAGCTTTGAGATTATGGTAGAGAGATTCATCCTACTGGATTTTCTTTCTTTTCTTTTTCAGCAACTTTATCCACCAGCTTTATCAATAGATCCATATAACTAGATGAGAAATAAATCTGAATCAAGGCATAGTAAATTAAAAACCAATAATACTGTAACTATAAAGACTTGAGATGCTGTTAATATTTGGCTCAAAAATTATACCACAGCAATGAAAGCTAATATATAGTGAACTGCTTTCTAAGTTCCAAACAATAGCTTATTTTATTTATTTATTTATTTATTTATTTTTGCCTTTTGGGTCACACCCAGCGATGCTCAGGGGTTACTCTTGGCTCATGTGCTCAGGAATTACTCCTGGTGGTGCTTGGGGGACCATATGGGATGCTGGGAATCAAACCCAGGTCAGCTGAGTGCAAGGCAAATGCCCTACCTGCTATGCTATCGCTCCAGCCCCCAATAGCTTATTTTAGAACAATACATAAGAACCTAAATTTAGCAGAACATAAATTACCTGGGCTGGAGCGATAGCACAGCGGGTAGGGCGTTCGCCTTACACGTGGCCAACATGGCCGACCCGAGTTCGATTCCTCCGCCCCTCTCGGAGAGCCTGGCAAGCTACCGAGAGTATTCGATATGCCAAACACAGTAACAACAAAGTCTCCAATGGAGATGTTACTGGGCCCGCTCGAGCAAATCGATGATCAACGGGAGGGAAAAAAAAATTACCTGAATTTGACAGAAAGATTTTATGTACAATAAAGAACAGTCAAAGCCAGCCTATAAAAAATGATCAATTAATTTTTTCTCTCCCTTCCTTCCTTCCTTCCTTCCTTCCTTCCTTCCTTCCTTCCTTCCTTCCTTCCTTCCTTCCTTCCTTCCTTCCTGCTTTTGGGCTATATAAGGTTGTGCTCAGGGCTTACTCCTGGCTCTGCACTCAGGAGTTACTCCTGGCAGGCTTGGGAAACCATGTGGGGTGATTAGGATGGAATAAGGTAGGTTGTGTGCAAGACAAGCGCCCTGCCTGCTGTACTATCACTCCAGTCCAGAGCAACCTAATTTTATACGATTGTTTATGCTCAAGAAGAATGATACCTGAGTTAGTTTTGATTCTATTAAAATGATGTTTTGAAATTGGATTTTATTATTCAGAAATTAAAAACAAACCTGCGTGGGGGCCGGAGAGCTAGTACGGTGTGTAAGGCTCTTGTGAATGAAACCGGGTTCATTCTTTGATATCCCATATGGTTCGCTGAGTATTGCCAGAAGTGATTCCTGAGTGCAGAGCCAAGAGTAAAACCCCCAAACACTGTCAGGTGTGGGCCACCCCTCCCAAAAAAAAAAACAAAACTAAAGGCCCCAAAGAACAATAGCAAAAACCTGTTTTTTTTCCACGTTAGTAACTGAAAACGCTGATATTTGCAGTTCTGTGGGTATTTTTCTGATGAAGTAACACAGAGCCCTGGAGGGCCAAGTGTTCCCTTTCCTGGGCTCTTGGAGACCACTTGTTCGCAGAGCTGAGAAACTCTCGCCCTGTTGGCTGCAGTGACACTGCTTCTGCTGAGTCTCGATTCACTGAGTCTGCAAGTGAATCATAAGCGAATCAACAAACACTGATGGCTCCTTTCAGAAACGAGCTCCTCCATGGACTGAAGTTGGTTCTGGCTGTTCTTGGGTTATGGGGGTCTTCCTGGCTAAAGGATTCGCGCCCTCCACCCTCTTAGGGTGTCTGTGCTGTGAGTGCCGGCCGGGTTCATTCTGCTGATGCAGTTTGCACTGCGCCTGCGCCCTGGGCCCCGGCTGGTCCCCACTCAGGCCGTGGCCTCTTGGCATTTGGGAGGGCCCAGATGGGAGGAGGAGGATTTGTTTGAGGGCCTGAAATTTAATCTGTTGCTCCTTGAGAGTAGCTTCTTTTTCATTTGTTTTGTTTCAGGGTCACACTCAGTGGTACTCAGGGATCACTCCTGGTGTGGTTAGGAGACTGTCTGGGTGGGGTGTTGGACATAGAACCTGGGTGGGCCACATGCAAGGCAATGCCTACCCCTCTACTAACCTTTCAGTTGTAGTTATTGTTTTTGTTGTTGTTATTCCTTGAGAGTGGACCAGTTCTTGGTGGTTTCTGTTCTCAGCTCTATCTTATTTCTTTTTTACCAGCTCCTTGAAACATAGGAGGTAATGAATTAATGGTCGCCCATGTTAGAATGATGGTTATCCAGATGCCTCCACAAATAGATCCTTTGTCTGTACCTTTTCTTTTCTTCTCCTTCTCCTTCTCCTTCTCCTTCTCCTTCTCCTTCTCCTTCTCCTTCTCCTTCCCCCTCCTCCTCCTCCTCCTCCTCCTCCTCCTCCTTCATAACAAATCATAAGGAAACTTAGTTTAAAACACATGTGATTTTTCTGTGACACTAACCCAGTTATATGACCCTCCTATGATCTTGGCCCACAGTGTAAGAAATTCTGTTCTAACTAGTGTTTCTCAGCCTTTGTTCATCAGTGTTCCCTCTTTTGACCTGTTTGCTTCCTGTGGCCTACGTCTCCTACTGGTTTGTCCCTTCCTGCCTTTTCTCCTATTTCCTACTGATGCTCACAGTTGCTGTCTGAAATCACCCACATTTGCCCCATGGCCTGTGTGACTGGCTCTGCCAAGCCCACCTTTCTGTCCCTTTCTCCTCCCAGTTAAAATCCTCTTGACCCATTCAGGATCAAACTTATGCCTCCTCCTCCCACAAGACCTTCCCCCATTGGGGGTCCTTCTCTACACTCCATTGCGTCTTTGTACCACTCCCTCCCAAGCCCCCCATAGGACACTGTAATAAACTCTGTCATTTTCAGGTCCTTCTTTTGATGCCCCTCCTTTAGGTGGCGATGATTGTCATGGACATTTCTGATGCTGACCGTGGAGATCAGATAACCTTGCATGGAGGACCCAGTCACTCCATGTTGGTCTCATCGGAGCTGTGATAGACTAGCCAGTGCCACCCCCTCTTTACCCTTATTGCTCAGCTGGCTCCCTGCCCCTGCCTGAACCAGTGACTACAGGCTCAGCTGCAGATGTCAGGGAGCAGAATGGCGATCCACAGATGCTGCTATGTATTGTCCAGAGGTAGAGGTCCTCTCTGCCTCCTGGAGCCCTGCAGGCTGCCTGTTTTATCCAAAATTAAATAATAGAGAAGGAGAATGATGCTTCGTTATGTAATTTGTCTTTGCTTTTGTGACAGAAAGCAGCACGAGGTAGGAGGGAACCCAGCCTCTCTGTGCCTTGGTTTCATCATCTGTGAAAAAGAGGGTGATTACTTCCAGGCCATGGGATTGTGAGAAGATGACATGCATTAAAAATGCTCAATAAGGAGAGCATTTATTATTTTTATTCTTATTTTGAATTGTCACTTTTTTTTGCAATTAATGCATGGAAGAAACTGCCCAGCAAAAAAATTTGTACAATGTTGGCAACACCAGAGACATAGAGAGCCTCGAGTCCTTGCAGTGACCTTTCACTCTGAAGGGATTTAAGAAAGATTTCAAGAAAGAGAAAAACATTTCCAACCTTTCTTCTCATAACACCAAGTGATGCTGACCCCCAGCCCTTGTCACAGCAACTGTTCCATTGCTCCATCGCTCTTATTTCCCAGTGGCATAGGCTCACCTCCATGGGGACAGTAGATACCGACACATAAATGTGCAGGCAAGGAAGACAGAACTTCTGAATCTTGCCATGCTGCCCTACCCTTCCTGGGACTGAAAACTTCAGTTACGTGGTAATTAGAAGGCAATGAACTCAACAATCTCTCTCTCTCTCTCTCTCTCTCTCTCTCACACACACACACACACACACACACACACACACACACACTCAAAGGGACATACTTCCGTAGGGCCTTCTTTGATGGTCTTAGCGTTGCCATATTACACCCTAGAACAAACTTAGGACAATGCGTCTTCCCCCCTGCTGCAGGAGTAACACGTCGAGACACATTGCAGGGAAAGGGGAGAATGACTCCTTTATGGTGACTGGCTTGGAATTATAAATATTTTTATTTCTCCCGTAGGAGACGGCTCGTGGAAGAGAGGAGACAAACACGACTTTGAAGCTAAGCAAGCGTACTCATCTCTCCAGACAATTACTCTACTGAGGACAGTGAAACCTGAGTTTGAGAAGTTTTCCATGGAGGTGAAAAGTTCTGTTGAGAAACAGGGGCTCAATGAGGAGGATTACGTAAGTGCTTGATTATGAGCCTAGACCTTTAGCATCCTGAAAACACTCTTCTAATTAAATCAGAGGTGACAAAGTGTCCCATTCTCAACCATTCAAAAATTCCTGGGTTCATGTCTGAAAGTCACTGTTGCTTTCTCTCTGTGTATGTATGCGTGGATTTTTTTTTTCTGGCTGGTTTTCCTCCTTGCCTCCCCCACCACACCCCCATCACCTCCACCCTCACTTATACTTTTCCAACTGCTGCAGGAAGGGAAAATTGCTTTTTGTGGGTACTTGTGGTCATACTGAGCAGATGTCTGTAGACTTCCATCAACTCTTCGGCTAGCAGACGGGGGGAGAAAATGGATGAAGAGGTGCCAACATTTGGCCTGCTTGGTTTTTCCGAAGTTTGGTGGCAGAAGATATTTTGGGTTTTAGAAGGCGCTTTCTGTTGGTGATGTGTCTCATAGCTTCATGAGTCTGTTTCCTCGTGGCAGTGTCATGGGTCCCTTCTGTTGTAGGTTGTTTCCTGTTCAACTTGTGTGAAGTTGCCTGCTTCTTTTTAGTTACTGGATGTGTTTTGCCGGAGTGGACTAGATTTAACAGCATAGACGGGACCCAGGGTTAAGCTAGGAGGAATCTATACGATAGTAAGTGGTCCTGAAGCTGCTGACCATGTCTGACATGGTGCCATTGTTTTTGCTGCTTCTGGTTCATGTTGCTGTGCAAGTTTCACACCCCTCTGTCCCTTCTGCATATCCTTTCTCAGAATGGGATGAGTGGGAGATATTTGGGGCTCATTGGGGAGTAAACTGCTCACACCACTGATTTCAAATCAGGAAAGGAGCACCTTCTTCATGACAGATACTTGGCTTCTGGAGTCCCTGCCAAGCTGATAATGACAAACTCAAAGAGAGTCACTCCTACACAGGGCCTCTCCAAGGCTTGGAGTACTGTCTCTAGACTTCCTGGCTGAGCCCTTTGGGGTCCTCTCCCAGTCCGAGTTGTTCTCTCTGCTGGGAGGATTGCAGATAAACTGAAGCATTCAAAATGCTTCAGACAGGAATGTTTCAGAGAGGAAGAATACCAAATATTCTTCCTCTCAAAAAGTTGGAAGTCAACAAATGAAGAAATGAAGTCTCTTTTATAATATTGGTAACATTTTATACCTTATTTTATAGAAATTTACCATCACATGGTATATAAAAGTTCTTATAAATATATCATCTTAAATATTGTATATATATTATACATAAATAATTTAGAATGCTTTTTATTTTCAAATCAGGATTTGTTCTAGTAGATAATAGATACATAATTAGAGCCATGCATATAATTAAATTTTTCAGTAGCCACATTTAAAAATATTTTTAAAAAGTTTTAGGTAAATTACTTATAATAATAATAACAATATATACTGGGCTGGAGCAATAGCACAATGGGTAGGGCATTTGCCTTGCATGCAGCCGACCTGGGTTTAATTCCTTCACCCCTCTCAGAGAGGCAGGCAAGATACCGAGAGTATCCCACCAGCATGGCAAAGCCTGGCAAGCTCCCCGTGGCGTGTTCAATATGCCAAAAACAGTCACAACAAGTCTCACAATGGAGACGTCACTAGTGCCTGCTCGAGCAAATCGAGGAACAGGAAGACAGTGCTACAGAACAGTGCTACAGTGCTAATAATATATACTAATATATCATATTTAACATATAATATGTTATATAACATACTGACAATATGATATATAATAATAATGATACATAGCTCAAGTTAAAAAATATTTTGGTTTATACCTGGCTGGCAATGCTCAGAAGTTACTTATGGCTCTGCGCTCAGGAAGAATTTTTGGCTGTGTTCGAGGAACCAAATGGGGTGCCAGGGACCAAACCTGGGGTTGCTAGTTCAGTGCCTTATGTGCAACTTAAGTGCCTTAACTGTTATACTTTCCAGCCCCTAAAAAATATTTTAACATTCAATAGATATAAAATTATGAGGAAGATTTTATATTCTTTTTTTGTTGTTGTTAATTTGGAGCCACACCCTGCTGTGCTCAGGGCTTACTCCTGGCTCTGTGCTCAGGGACCACTCCTGGTGGGACTGGGACACCATATGGGGTTCCGGTGCTGGGGACTGAACCCAGGTCAGTGACATTCCAGGCAAGTGCCCAACCTGTTGTACTATTGCTCTCTCTTGCCCTTTTATATTCTTCTTATTGTACAATGTCTTTGAAATATACTATGTATTTTACCCTAAGTGCATACAGTTTTTGTTTCGTTCTTTTAAATTGATCTATCTTGTTTATTTGTGCTTTGGAGGCCACATCTAGCAGTGCTCAGGTCTTGCTTTTGGCCTGCTCTCAGGGATCACTCGTGGTGGTGCTCAGGGGATGGGGTGCCAGGGATCAAATCCTCTTTGGCACATGCAAGAACCCTACCTACTGTGCTCCCACTCCAAGTCCGTATTTTGCTTTTATTTTTGAGTCATACCCTAATAGCTCTGTGCTTCGGGGTATCTTCTGGCAGTGCTTGGGGGACCATGTGGTTTCAGGGATCAAACCCAGATCTCCTGCATATGAAACACGTGCTCAGTCCATTGAGCTATCTTTCTAGTACCTTTACTACATACGTATTTCAGTTTAGGTGCTCAGTCCTTAGATGTGACCAGTGTCCAGCACCTTGAACAGGCCCTTGTTCTTAACTTTAAAAGGAAGATTATATACTCAATTTTATATCTGTTCTTATCAACCTTTAGGCATGATATTTACTAATGAGGTTGGGGGGGAAAGAGTCTTTATTAGTTATAAGCATTTCTTTTTATTCTTTGTTGGTGGAGTTTTGTTTTGGCAGAATGATGCTATTAGGACAACAAAGAGTCAACATAGTCCAACGAACATTGAGGTTTATATAACGTAGACCGCAGAAAGGGTGTAGAGCCAGAGAGGTAGCAGAAAGGGCTGGAGCACACGTTCTACTTGTGGGAGACCCAGGTTTGAACCCAGCACTACATGGTCACCTGAGTGTCATCAGGAACAACACCCAAGCCTCTTGTGTGTAGCACCCAGACCCCCACCTATACTGTCTGTGGCCCCAAAGCACCCCCCAGTAGCTCCCCCAATAAAAGGCAGGGTGGGCGGAAGGATTTGGGCAATTTTTAAAATTGTAGTTATACAATGTATGATGTATTGACTCTGAGTCTTGATGTTAGTACCTTGTTCTTATTAGCATCTTAAAAATACCATGTTCTTATTTGCATGTCAGCTTTCCTAATTGGGCTTGTCATCTTCTCAAAATGCAAACATTTGGGACTTTAATTTTGAACAGAGTTCACTAAAACAATGGAAAGAGGAAGTGACAATGATTTTAAAAATTATTCTTTATTTTCAATTTAACATTTTTTAGGGGCTACACAGAGATCTGTTCAGGACTTACTCCTGACTCCATGCTCAGGAATTATTCCTGGAGGGCTTGAGGGACCAGTTGGGTGCTGGGGAGAGAACCTGGGTTAGGCTGGTGTGTGAGGCAAGTGCCCCTTACCTGCTGTCCTATCTCTCTAGCCCTGACATTTACCATTTTTGATGACTCAGTGCAATTTTCTTTCTGGAGCATCACTCTTTTCTTCTCCCATCTCCACCTCTTGCAATCTTTTTGGAAATTAACTTTTAAAATGGTGTTAAATGCAGATCTACATGAAATTTTAAGAGATAATGCAGAGACATCCCTTGTATAGACAACCCACTTTTCTCCCCACTGGTAATTTTCTAGAAAAATCATCAGTGGGATCACAGCCAGGCTTCTGACGTTGTGGTCACCTCACTCAGACTTCTTCAGTTTTCTCTGACCTTGTGTGGGTAGGTGTGTGTAATGTGTGTACGCCAGTCTTGTCACCTCTATGGGCGTTTGAATCTTATCAAATGCCTTTTCTATATTGAATAAGGTAACAGAATGTTTTATCTACTCAGTTATAATGTAGTGAGTTTAATTACTAGGTTATTCAAGCCCCTTTCTTTTTTTGAGCCAAAAACCATTATATCAGTTATAGCATGCACTTGATATATTCGCATATTGTGCCATGATTACTCTAAGTTTATTAATATCCATTACCTCACAAAGCTATATCCCCTCTTCCCTTGAAGTCAGCACTTTTCAGATCTACTCTCTAGCAACCGTCAAATATTCTATTAGATAATGTTAGCGCCGATCACTATACTATCACATTCCCAGAACTTACTTATCTGGTCACTGGAAGTTCGTACCTTGGAACCACTTTCATTGATCATTTAGTCATCTATGCACTTCTGGGATAACCTTACTGTCCATACCTCAAGCCTGTGTGAACATCTTGATCCTCTATTTTGGAGAAGACAGCTGTGGTTCAGTCCACGCATCTTTTCCTGGGTGGTGCTTTGAGTGCTTGAGTGAGGGTTGTTCTCTGCGGCTGTGATAGGCAGCCTAAAGATTAGTGTCTCTGGGTCAATCCTCTTCTTCAGTTCCATTGGTTGTGAGTGTGTGGGTGGTTGGGTACCTGCATGTTAAGTGATAAAAAATAGGATTTCCTTTTTTTTTATTGAATCACCGTGAGCAACACTGATAAAGCTTTCATGTTTGAGTTTCAGTCATTATCAAAATTCATCCTTCCACTAGTGCACGTTTTCTATCACCAATGTCCCCCGTATCCCTCCTTCTTCTCCCCCTCCCCCCATACTGCGTCCCATTCCTCCCCCTGCCTTTATGGCAGACAGTTTCCTTCTTACTCTCTCTCTACTTTTGGGCATTATGGTTTGCAATACAGATACTAAAAGGCTGTCATGTCTGGTCCTTTATCTACTTTCAGCCACATCTCCCATCCCGAGAGATTCCTCCAACCATCGTTGACTTAGTGATCCCTTCTCTATCCCAGCTGCCCTCTCCCCCGCTCATAAGGCAGGCTTCTGACCATGGAGCAATATTATGGTCCTGTCTCTACTGTCCTTGGGTGTTAGTGAAAATAGAATTTCTTGGGGCTGGGATTTCTTGGGACCGTG